AGAGAACTGCTCCCCTGAGCCCTGGGTGGGCAATTTTCAGGTCACTTCATTGGGTTAACACCCAACTATTTATTCATGGGGATGGCAGGTCATTGATGGGCTTTCTATTGATTTAAGATTCCATACCATACAATGGACCTACTCTCATCAACTGGTCATTTTGATTGTGCATCCCCCATCTGGCCAGAAGCCTTTGTCCACATTCCTTACTCCCCTCCCCAACAGGTCTCCGACCCCTCCTCTCATTGGCTTCAAAGAGAATTCTGCCTCCATCAGGGTTTTCTCCAAAGGGACTAGCTCAGCACATTTCAGCATCAATAACTCCATATTCATGGAGCTCTGACCTGTGTGTGCTCAGACCCGCAGCAGCTGCCCAGATGCTTTCTTCTCCTCTGCTCTCACAGGCTGTCTCTCTCAGTACATTAATGCTGGATGGACCCTTAGAGAATATGTAGTTCCAACCCCTCTCCTTACAGATGGAGAAACTGAGGTCACACAAAGACAAGAGACTTATCAAGGCCATAAGCTCAGTAAATGAAAGAAGCAGAAGGAAGTCTCCCAGCCTATCCTTCTTTCCCATGGTGCCATTTGGACTCATAGTGAAATAAACAAGTCATTAAGAAGATTTCTACCAGAATAACAATGCACATCTTCCTTTCTGAATGTGTTACACAACAGCCTTCCTGGTAGAGAAAAAGGTCTATTGAAGCAGTTCAAGTTAGGATACACAAGCTGTCCCTCTTTTTTTGGCTATAAGCACTGGAGTTAGGTGAGGCCAGGTAGGAAGCTGTTTAGGGGAGCCAAAACAAAGGACACTTTTTAATATTCCCTTTTAAAATGCACACATTTTAATATCAGCACATTTTATTCTTTTGGGTATGAAGGCATTTGGCTTCCTCACAAGTAAAACAAAGATGGGGGGGAACTAAGGGGTTCTTAACCTGGGGTCTGTGAATTTATTTAAAAAAATTTTGATAACTGCTTTTCAATGTAATTGGTTTTCTTTGTCAACCTATGTAATTTTTAAAAATACTTTTAAAAATGTTATTCTGAGAAGGGGTACACAGGTTTCACCAAACCAAAGGGATCCAGGACACAAAAGTGTACTATATTGACTAGACTAGCTCTGCCCTTTGCGCTTCCCATCTCTAACATTCTGTATTCTAGGATCCTTTCTACCTTTGACACTATAGGCTCAATGTTCTAATGTCTTCCCATGCTCTAACATTCTGACTCTATGATTTAATTTTCTGGTGTCAAGTGTTGTACATTACAGGAAAGACAGAGAGTCGTTGGTAGATAGTAATACATAGTGGGTACAATTATCAGACCTCTCCTGGGGCACACAGATACCTTGTTTTAGCTCCAGCGCAGCTCTTGAGCCTCTGGGATTCACCTCTCTCTCTTCAGTCCTTCCTGGCTTTTCTCTTTCTGCTCTCCTGCCACTTTCACTTTCTCCTTTCTCACTCCTATTCTTTCTCCTCCTTTCCTCCTTTTAATTCCCACCCTGGAGGAAAATCTGTGTCTCTTATCAAACCTCAAACCTATGAATGAGAAGGTCCCCATCTATGCCAAGAATGTCAAGAGCATATCCTGGGTGGCTTTTTGGGGGGAGGGGGAAGGATAATGGGGCTGGTATTTCCTTCATTGAAGAGAAAAAAAATCCTAAGAGTTTCTAACTCAAATCTTTTTCCATATGTCCTGACATATATAGAGATTGGTTTGTGAACTTGGGTCTGGGAATGTGTGTGGGGCTTTCAGTTACCCAAAATCTATGAGTGAACCAGCCTCTTGAACAGAACATCCTGTGTTGTTTTCATGGGAAAGAAAATACCTCACTCAGGTCCTAGGGGTGGAGAGGGAGTCACACAGATGAAGACTTAGGGAAAGAAAACTGTGCTTTTTGGCATAAATCCCAGTAAAAGAGGTAGACTGGTGAGAGGAATGTGGAAAGTGAGCAACAGAAAAACCAATAACTGGATAGGATAATAGGATCTAGCATAAGGGGTTTTTTATGTCCGATGAAGCCTCTGGACCCCTGTCATACACGTTTTTAAAGCCCTGGAATAAAATGCATAGGCTTACAAAGGAAACCAATCTTTTTGAAATACAGTTATCCCATGGCTAATGCAGAAATCTGTTTTGCATGTCTATACATATTTGTAATGAGTTTTATTTTTCTTCTCTTTTCATTGAGTGGGAGAGGGTAAAGAATTTGGAACTGAAAATAAAATTAAAGTGACTTTAAAAAATACAATAATTAAAATATATTTACAAACCAATAAAGTGCCCATATCCCAGGTTCAGAACCCCTGATTATTCTTGAGCTAAAAGGGAGAGATCATTTAGACCATATCCCCTAATTTTACATGTGAGGAACCTTAAGCCCAGAGAGGTGGCTCTCCTCAAACCACACAGGTAGTAAATAACAGAGCCAGGCAGGATTCAAATCGAGGTCCTCCAATTCCAAATCCAGCACTCATTCCACCATAACCATACTGACTGCCTAGATACATAACAGATAAAGACAAGAAGGGAACAGGAAGAAAGGGAGAAGTTGAGAGTGGGACAAGTTGGGGCCAATGCCAAACATCTGGATGAAAACTGAAAAGGTCCTATGAGAATTTAGATGTGTCTGGGTCATCAGCTGCATTTTTCCACTTCCCATTCAAATGTTTGTCCTTAGATGGGAATAGTCTCTGATGGCTAATGCATCTTGACCTCTTGAGCATATATTTCATGTGTGTACGTAGGAATTGAGACAGCAGATGGGTTAGCCATGGTCCTCCTCCCTTTGGTCATATATTCTATATATGCAGGTAGAATTTTGAAAAGTCATCTTCTTTATAAAAAATGCTGCCCCATTATTTGATCTGGCTAAGAGGTTTTCCCAAACACTCTCACAATTTCCCCCTTATGATCTTGTTAGTAAAACAACTGTCCAGGATTAGGACTCACTCTCTGTCTAGGATTAAGGGTTAATCAGTAGTGAGATAGGTCAGGCTGTGATTGGGGTTAGAGGTCAATTTGTAGCAAGATTTAGGGATCAAACTGTTGACAGAGGTATGCATCAACCTGTGGCTAATGTTACAGATCAGTCCTTGGCTACACTTAAGGAATTGGCTAGGGTCAGGGGTCAGTATTTTACCAGGGCAGTCTCTGATCAGGGTTAGGGAATAGACCTCAGGTGTAGATAGAAGTCAGTCTATATTGGAGCGAAGGGTAGGGGCCATGGAACAACATTCTTCATCTGCATGAAACTCTGGCCCAGGTGGTGATGACCTTGTCCTCTTGGCAAGTGGCCCTTTCCCTTCAACTTTCTAAGTTCCACAACTGTGTGACAAGGTGCACAGCCCAGGGCAGGACCCAAAGGGAGAATGCTTTTCTATGTAGCCTCTCCCCATTGAACTGTTCTTGGCCTGCTTATTTGAGCTTATATCTACAGTTTGGCCAAAAGAAGGATAAATGGAGGAAATCACTCCATAGGTGTGTATATGCTTGGAATGTGTATATGTGTGTATGGGAGTCTGTATGAGAAAGATCTGGGCTTTCTTCCTTTGCTCCCCTCCCCCATACCACTGAGCTTAAATTCACAGACCAGTCACAGGCCAAGCAAGCACAGAAGCTGCTTTTGTCTTGGCCAGCTTTCCATGCCTCCCGCTTTGTTTTTCTGTTTCTCGAGCCCCATTTGAAACCAACTCACTTATAAAGCTGTTAAATTGCTGTGTTTTTAATTGAGACAATGATACTGTATATGGGCACCCATAAATAAATCTGAGAAGAGCCAAAATGATCTCTCTCTCTCCTTTTCTTCTTTCATTCCCCTCTTTTCCTTCCTTCCCTCTCTTTCTCTCTTCTCCTTCCTCTTTTTCCTCCCTTACCATCCCTCTCCTTCCCTCCCTTCTTTCTCTCCATCTTTCCAATCCTCTCTTCTTCCCCTTCTGTTACCTTTTTCAGTGATCCTCCTTTTCTCCCTCACCTCTCCATATAAAAATCTGTGGGGAATTTATACAGCTCTATAACACCAAGAGCTATTCTCCAATAGACATAAAGGATATGAACAAAGTTCTCAAAAGAAGAAATATAAAATATTTCTACCTCATCTTAGCTGCTCTCTCTCTCTCTCTCTCTCTCTCTCTCTCTCTCTCTCTCTCTCTCTCTCTCTCTCTAACACAAACACAGGGTGAGAAAGTCACTATCCAGCTGAGAAACAGCATAGCTGTGTGTTTAGTAAGTGTCTACTTAAAGAGGTTGCTTATTTCTCAGAATTCTTACAAAAATATGATCCATGCTAACTAGGAGTTCATTTTAATCAACAAAAGGTTCTCTTTTGCTCTATAGAATGTTTGGTCTCAATAGCCAAATTCTCAGATGGAAAACAACTCCTATAGGATGGTTATTTTGCTCCAGGTTGCTGTTACATGCAGCGTCTTCGTCGATTAAACTCCTACTATCTTAGACCTTTGGAGCCGGAAGGGACTTTATGGTGAAAACAGAACTGAGACACACAAGACTCTGATTTGGGGGTGGATGGATGTAGTTGCTCAGAAGTTTTAGGTTTCATGCTTCCCAATATTTGTGACTCTCTGAAACCACTGACCCTACACTGTTAACCATCCACCCTCAATACTTGGAAGATGACCCAGCCCTTCCTTGGCACTTGAGGCCTTTTTTGGCTTCTGGTCACAGTGATTCCTTGGTGAGCTAGCCTCTGTTTCCCAAAACTACCCACATTGGTTCCACCCTAGTGCAATCTCAGAAGCTGGAGAAGCACTGAGTGGTGTCTTCTGGAAAGCCCAAGGAGGAATTAGTCTAAGTGGGCAGTTAGGAAAGGGATTGGGTAGAATGACTTCCACCTAGACGCAAATACCTGATCATATTAATGGATTGAAAAAACAACATGAAAATTATCCCAAAAAGAGAAAGAATATGGAAATCCCCCCTCCTCTTCCTTCCCCTAACCTCCTCCCTCTAAACAGAGTTTGAAAAGTCCGTTTTGAATCCATTTCTTTTATTGACTCTACACACAGAAGCGCTTTAGGAAAGGTCACTGATTTGATGGTTCGATAGAGAGGGAGGGAGGGTTGGTTGTACTCTTCGGTCCTTCCGGGGACGACCCCTAGACGAAGAGCTTGTGCTGGCTGAGCTGGGCAATGCGGGTGGTAGTTGAAATTTGTCTCAAGGCCAGAGAAAAATAGCCTCTCTCAAAACAAACAAATACAACAATATAACCCCCTCCCCCACATCCCACCAAACCTTAATATATACAGTTCTTTCTCTTAAGAAAGAAAGGAAAGCAAGACCCTCGAGCGCTTTCGGGACTGAGGACTGGCAAGGCTGAGCTAGACCCGGGTAGTCTCTGCGGCTGAACCTTCTTCTTCGCCTCCTCCCCTCCCCCCTTCCCAGCCCCTGCTAAGACTACAGGTTTACAATGAACAGGACCACATACTTTTGTTTCTAGAAATCACTCTAGCCTAGGAATACACATTTCTCTAATACAGTTCTCAGTAGGGAATATCATATCTATTTGGAGGGATAGGGAGGAAGGGTGGGGCGGGACGCCGAGATCCACAAAAGAACAGAGATTCTTTTCTCCGTCCTTCATCCATTTCTATATACAGATATTTTGTGCCAAACAAATTTAAAGCACTCGCGGTTGAAGATTAGTCCAAGCCACAAATACAAACAAAGACACACACCTTCCGAGTCGCGGGCTCAGTGTGGCAGACCCAACTCTGTTTCACATCTAGTTGATTCCCAGGTGAGAGGAATCGAGTGGGGAGGGGGTATTCTGGGGGCTCTTTCTAAACTCACTCTTTTCACTGTTCCCAAACAGCCCTTGCTCGGGGGGACCTTTTGAGTTATCTCCCCAGTGGGGGCGCGTGAGTACAGCAGGTACTGGACCTGTCCAGCGCGGAAACCTCCTGAAACTCAAAGACAGTTACAACGAAATACACAATGGGAGCTAACTCACACATTCCTGGACAGTTGGGCGTGATCGGATAGACTCCCGGTTTTAAGGGAAAGAAGGGAGAAAGAGAGAGTGGGGGAGGCAAGGATGGGGGGAAAATTGAGAGGGGAACACAGGTGAATGAATGAAATGAATGAATGAAAGACCCTTATTTCCCATCAGGCTGGGAAGCGGGGTGTTAGCACCAGATCCAACAGCGTCATGATTTTCCTTTTAAAAAGTAATACAAATCTTAAAATCAAAAGGAGTGGTGAGTTGTAACTTGTCCCAGTCTGCAACCCCCCGTTCGTTTCTTTCTGTTGCAAATGGTTGAGGTGGAGATGGAAGGAGGAGAACACGGAACTTAGATTTTGTTCCCTTCAAAGCCATGGAAGGAAGGAAAGGGATATATATTTTTTTCTTTTTGTTTTAAAATTTCAAAAGGGCTTTGGGGCCCGGTCTTTAGGGAGTAAGTGCACCTGCTTTAAAAGGAAAGCAGCTAGAAATGAGATGGGGAAGGATGGTTCAATCAGAAAGGCTCCCGGGTGTGGGAGGCTGAGCCTCCCGGGACTGGGCGGAGGAGCCATCTGAGTGGAAAGGGCGGACGAACTCTATTCCCCGCTATCCGACTGCATGCCGAGAATTTTAGGTCAGTACCCCCGGGCAACCTTATTTACACTGTTAAGGTGAAATGCTTTAGAGCGTGTCTTATCCCTCCCCCCACCCCGTTTTCTTTTGTTTCCCAATGTCCAAGGTTGGGGGTCAGGCAGGAATTGAGGAGGTGGAAAGGAGGGGGAGGAGGGGAGAGGAAAGTCAACGTTCTGTCTGCCTATAGTTTCCATTAATTTCCTGGGCGATATCAACCGCCTCAGCCCCCAGTGGCAACCGGTCGCTGTACTCCGAACTTGCCTCAAACTCCTCCTGGTTGGCCTTGGACTGGGACTCCGGAAGGGAGCCGGCCACTAGGCTCTCGTCCCTCTCCAATCCTCCACCCACCTCTTCCTCCTCCTGATCATCCTCTTCCTCCTCCCCTACTCTTGTCCTAGCCCTGCTCCCAGGTCCAGTCCCCTCTCCCACCCCGGGACCAGAGTCTGTGGGACTGTAATTCTTCTCAGACTCCAAGTAGGAAGCGCGGGGGTCGAAGTCGGCAGCGATGTGCTTCTCCATCTGGTCAGGGTTCTGCGCCTTCATGATGAGCCTGTAGGTCTTGCCCTGGTACTTGGAGAGAAGATGGCAACACGTGGCCCCCAGCAGAGGCACAGTGGCCAGCGCCAGAAGGAAGACACTGACCACCACTATGATGACTAGGGAGGGCACTTCTTTCTTGGTGGTGAACACGACCTGCACCTGGCACGCCTCGCCCACGTAAGTGAGGCACACCGAGTAGTTGGTGCCCGGGCTCAGGCCTTGGAACCAGTAGGAATTGACGCCCTCCTCAATCCGGGACCACTGCACTACTGCGTGGCCGCCCTCAGCGCACAGGTAGAGCATTCGCAGGTGCCTCTTCTCTGGCCTGACCGCGAACGGAGTCAGCTGTACTTTGGCCTCTCGCTCGGACACGTCAAGTGCGATCACTCCCAGGTCGAAGGCATGGGGCTTAAGGTCCGCGCTCTGGTTAAAGGCGTGGTTGGACACGTACATTGTAGGGTCCCCCTGGCCACAGCGCCGCTCAAATGGCGGTGGCCGAAAGGGGTCTTCTTCTGCCTCCGCCTCCACCTCGACATCCTCCAGGACCTCGGGGGTCCGTGCAGCTGACGCCCTGCCCTGCCCTCCCCAGGGACCCCGGCCTTTGGTCCTCTCCTCGCCCTTGGAGGTCAGGACGCTATTGCCATATCCCTTGCCAGACGCTTTGCGATCTCCTCCTGAGCCTTTGCTGCCCAGGCCCGGGAGCTCACCTCTGGGCGAAGCCGGGGGGTGTTTCTGCGGTCCGGCCACCGCCACGCTCACCGACGTCTCATTACTGCCCAGCTCGTTGTCTGCCCGGCATGTGTAGGTGCCCTCTTCCTTTTTGCTCAGGTGCGGGATAAGCAAGGTGCCATTGGCGAAGGCTAGGAAGCGCTGTGGAGAGCGCGGGGGTATCTCCTCCCCGGCCTCGCTGGCGTTGGGTTGCTCGATGAGCAGCGCGCCGCCAACCGTCTCGATCCTCCACTGGATCAGCGGCATGGGGTGGCCGGTGGCGATGCAGTGCAGGGCCAGGGCCAGGCCATCCTGGAGCTCTGCTCCGTCTACGTTGGGCTGATAACTAAGGCGCACTGTGGGCGGCGCGCACTGCAGCGCCGGGAGGCTACCCAGGGCGATGCCTTTGAGGTTTGGGGGAGAGGCACACGTGATGGACTCCCGCTCGGGGATGGAGATGAGAGTGTTCTCCGCCCACGCCTTGAGCCACAGAAGGCGGCACGTGCAGTCGAAGGGGTTGTTATAAATCTGCAGGTGCGACAGCGAGGTGAGCGCGTCGAAGGTGCCCTCGGCTATGAAGCTGAAGTGATTGTTGTTGATGCGCAGAGAGCGCAGGTCGCGCAGGTTGCGGAAGGCGTCGGCCGGCAGCGCCGCCATGCGGTTATTGTTCATCTTGAGCAGCTGCAGGGCGCTCAAGTTGCGCAGGTCAGCCCAGGGGAAGTCAACGATCTGGTTGTGGCTGATGTCCAGGTTCTTGAGCTGGACCAGAACCGCTAGGGCCCCTGGCTCGATGGCGCTAATCTCGTTGTGGGACAGCCACAGAGACGTGACCTGCGTGACTTCGGCGAAGGCTCCCTGACGCAAGGAGGTGATCTTGTTGGCAGACAAGCTAAGCGTGGTCACGTTGGCAGGGAGCCCTGACGGCACCTCCTGCAGGTCTTTGTACGCGCAGTCGGCGAACTGGTGCGCGTACTTGTCCACGCAAGCGCAGGGTTCGGTGCAGCCGTGGGCGGCCCCCAGCAGCGCCCACACCAGCCACAGGCCCCGCAAAGACGCCGCCATCGTGTCTCCTGCAAAGAGGGGAGGAAAGGGGAAGTCACCGGATTATAGAATGTATAGTTGGAAGGGACTGCAAGGTTAGATCGTCCAACACTATTATTTGTCAGATGAGAAAACTGAGGTCCAGAAGGGGTACAGTGACTTTGCACAGGTAGGACAGCCAGGTCTTTGATTCCCAATTCGGTCCCTTCCATTACATCAAGCAAAGGGCAATGCACTGCGCCAGTCCTGCTCCAGTTGGAAACAAATTTCCTATCTTATCCTCGTCTTGATCACTTCCCCTTATGTCTCCCACCCCAACTGTCGAGGCTGTCCTAGAGCTGTTGCTGGTATAGGTCCCATTCGCGACAGCCCTGATTCCGAGAGATACGTGAAGGGGGGCTGAAAATGGCTGGGAATCTAATAAGGTTTCTGCGCAACTCATCCTGTTCCCCTCCCCCTTTCCAGGCCCTTGTCCCAGCTCCCGCCTCACGCCACCCACAGTCTTCTGCTGGATCGAGCCTGAGTTTCCATGCTAGTGTCCAAGTCAAGTCCCACGGCGCCTCTCCACTGAGCTGATGCTAAGGCGGAGTGTGCTACCTGGCGCCGAAAGCTTTCCCCAAGGGTTAGCCTGGCGCTATCTGAGCATCTCTCTTCCCCAGCTAATGGTAAGGGATGTGGGAGGTGGGGTGATGGGGCAGCTAGAAGAAGAATTTCTTTCTGCTGGAATTTATGAGATTCAGAGAAGCTCCATAAAGGAGGGGAGGGCGGCTCTCCTTTAAATACACAAAAACAGTGTCGTTGTCCTTGACTTCCTCTTTCGCTTTGTAGCATGTACAAACATACATATAAACACACGACGCATGTTCACACTGATACAATCACAAATACATGCACATGCCCCCAGATGCAGACGCACACAAACGCAAGTCTAGATATCGCACATGCATGCACACACCCTTCTACATACCAATGTTAAGTAAAAACACAATATTCGCAGTGACTACATTTTTGTCCTCTTAACGCAACCGACCAGAAAACATAAAAACTTAGGGCAGAAAGACAGCCCTCCCCCTCATTCCCACCCCCGTGAAACCCCAGTGGGTGGGAACGTTCAGCCGCTGTCCTGGAATACACCCCCTTAGTTCTCCCTTGGTGCTTAAAGACCCCCTGTTGCAGCCTTCTGGCATCGCAGGCTCCCGGGTTGGAAGAACCAGTGTCCATCTGTCAAATCGGCTGGTTCTTTCGCTTAAGGGGCTCCGGGACTGTAAGGCTTGGGGAAAAGAGGAACAAGGTACTTATTTCTTAGACCCAAAAAACCTGCTTCCCCCCCCCCCATTTTTTCAATGGAGCAATGTCTTTACTCACCCACCAGAGCTGGAGGAGGATATGCGAAGCCTCACTCCGCTTAACAGAGTCTATGTCCAGCTCTGTACCGCTCCAGGGCTAGCTTATCTGAAGCGGTTCCAGGATGTTTGCTGGTCCGAGTTGGAAAATCCGTTACCCCCTTTCCCCTACCCAAATGTCTCCTATCTCCTTCCTCCTTCACCAGAGCAAACCTCCTTCGTCCAGTCTTGGCAGTGTCTCTCTGTCCCTCTCCATACACCCCGGAGGCCCTTCAGCCCCCTATGTCCCTGCTCCGGGTCCCCGCTTCCAGGGAGTCGCCCGGGCCAAGTCCACACACAAAGATAGACCTTCAAGCACCCGCCGTGTGCGCTGTCCAGGGTCCTTCCCACGCCCCAGAACCGCACCTGGCTCAGCGTCGTACTGGGGACCTGCTCACCTGTTTCGCTTCAGGTCCCCGAGCTCTCACTGCTGTTGGGGAGCGATGAGGCCCAGATTCCCCGGGGACTCGGACCCCCAACTAGATGCTGAGTTGCGAAGTACGGACGCCGGCGGAGAAGGTCTTCCTGCATCTGTTGCTGCTGTGACGGCGGCCGCCTAGTCTCGGTCTGTGAGAACACCAGGTCCACGTTTTGGGGGTAGGAAGGAAAAAAGAAAGATAGGAATTGAGGGAGTCTCTGGGTTCCTCCAGCCGCCTGCCCCCCAACTCTAGTGCAGTCACTTTTGCCCCCTCCCCCCAAATCCCACCTTTTGGCTGGCAGCAAGCTGCAGTCAGAGCGCGCTCCCGAGGCCAGCGGGGACGCGCCTAGCCTCTCCCACCTCCTGCATATTCTGCGTGTGTTAAAGCTGTAGGGACCCTCACCAAAGCCAATGTAATATTTATCACATCAGTATGTTTTCGTGCTCACTGCCATCTTACAGAGCCCAGCCGCCAGCTCCCCCCCCCCGCCCCAACACACAGATATTCTGCGAGTACATTGGATCTGCTCACTGATTGAATGCAAACAGCTTTTAATCGCTTTAGCTCGTGAGATAAACCATCTTTGAGGAATTTGGGGGAAGGAGGGGCTCAGGAAGGGGTAGGGTGTTTGTGTCTTTAAACTCTTTATTAAAACAAAAACAAAACAAAACAAACGCACCAAAAAATCTTGACTGGATTCTGGATTAGAAAAATAATGGATGGAGATCTACATTTCAGCTCCCCATCCCCAGTTCAAGTGAAGTCTTTTATTTCCCCCTTCTCTGCTCCCTCCTCCTTCCATTCTCCCTTTCTCCCTCTCTCCCTCCCTTCAGCCCCCACTCCATTCTCTTCGAAGCCACATTCAACATGATGCATAATTGATTGTGTTAGGAGAGAGTTCATCTTCCCTCCCTTCTATTTTTGTCTAGAACCTGGCAATTTCGACTTTCCGACCTTCTCCTCTCCTCCCCCACCCCAATAGATACAAAGGCACACCCAAAAGCATCCCATGCTGAGAACAGCTTGATGGAGGAAGACGAGGAAGAAGTGAGTTTTCTCTTTGAGGCCCTCATTCTCCCTTGTTTCTCCTCATTCTCTTTCAAGCCAGATTCCTGGCAACACATCTTTTGTTTTCAAAGTCCAATTTAACCCAGGAGGTGATGTCTTATAAACACACTCCGGGAGATGTACAGCGAATGCTGTGTGGTGGGGACAAGGAGGAGGGTAGGCAGAGAACTCAGATCTAGACCAAGATAGAGGCCGAGAGCAGGGCTAGTTCAACATTCACTGAGAAAAAGAACCTTGGACACATACCCTGTGTCCATCCCACCCAAGGCCTATCAGGGGCCATCTAAGGTTCTACTAGTAGCTTGCTCGTTGTGGGTGTAGATTCTGGATCGGTGAGCCTGCCTCTCTTACTCGCTCCCTCCGCTCCCTCTGGCTGTGTATCCAAGCTATGTAAATGTGGATGTAGGGGAATGCCTAGTTATAACGTAGCTGCTTCTTAATTGAATGTCCTCAACCAGCGGATCTCCTCCTCTTGTCTCGCCTTTGCACTTTCCCTGGGCGCACACTGAAGGCTGGCTCTTGCTTCCCCAGACACACACAACGATACATATTGACACAGCCGCTTACACACATCTAAACAGCACAATCACAGGAGCACAGTCGTTTAGGTTCACACAATCTCATTTAAGCTCACCTACATTCACTCCCACAGTCGCAGTTGTTCATACACACGTACACTACCTGCTAACCACACATACCAACGCCCACCCGCGCCCACACCCACGCCCACATTCATCTTACTGCAGGCGCAATCCATTTTCTCCTTCTGTTACACACAATCACACATACATACCCAGTCATATAATAACAATAACTCACATTTATAAGGCATATCACAAAGTGCCGGGAGATTGTTGTAGGCATCAAAGTGGAGTCGGAAGAGCACAGCATTTGAATTGTATTTGAAATGGGATCTGGGTTCGAATCCTAGGTTTATTTTTTTTTCCATTTACTATGCTATGACCTTGAGCAAGTCATCCACTTCTCTGGGCTTCAGTCTTCTTATCTGTAAAGTGGGTGAGGGGGTTCGACTAGATGGCCTGTAAAGCCCCTTCCAGTTCTAGAACTATGTTTCTATAAGGTAGATAGTGCAAATATCAGCCCCATTTTATTGTTGAGGAAACAGGTATTCAGAGAAATTAAATGCCTAGTCAAAAGTCAGGCAGTAAATCTCAGAGAAGCCCTTTGACTCAAGCCCAAAGCTCTTTTCACCCAATCAAACCCCCTTTAGACATGCCACCATAAAAACTCCTCTCCCGTGCCAGGTAAATAAGCCTGACAAAAAGAGACGAACCACAGTGCTAGGTTACAATTACAGGGTGAAAGAAATGACTCCAGGGAGGTTTTTACAGGTGGGCGGGATGGAAACAGGTGTCAATCAGTAGCCCCACTACAGTGTGGTTACTACAGGCCTGCCTACTCAGCAGGCCGATTACTTCGGTGCTGAACTGGTGAATTCAGAAGTCAGCTGGCTCGCTGAGGGATCCAGCTTCCAGAGTGGAGTGCACAGCTGAGGCTATCTATGAACCCAAAATGGGCAGGGATGGAGAAAGAGTCGGCACTGCTGCTCCGGCGATGAATGAGCTCTTCTGGGGCATACGGGGTATTATACCCCTCAGGAGCTAAGTGGAAAGGTACTGACGCAGCTAGGTTGGTTTTCTAACCGCATATCATCCCTCCTCGGGTGGTCTTGAAGGACATTTGTGCGGAAGCTGATCCCCGAGAAACAAAAACTTAAAAATGAGGGAGGTGATTGTCTTATCTCTGCTGAGGGGGTGAGGGAGGTGGGTTAGAAGGAGGAAGGTGTAGGAGTCCAGAACGAATTAGGTCTGTGTCTTTTGTACGAGTCACTATACTGTCCTGCGCGCATAGACTTTGCCGAAACATTTCTACAAAGGGATTGGAAGGCGATCAGCTAATGAGTGTTAATACATCGTTCTCCATCCGTCAGACCCGGTGATGCTACCTATTAAGCCTTTACCCCTCTCCCCACCGCCATGTCCCAGCTAGCTCACTTTCATATAAGACAGGCTACTGCTTCTGTAAGGAGAGACGTGAGCCAGCGTGTACAGGCTTTCCTACACCCCTCATTTGTCTATTACATCCGTGTGTGTCAATGTTCCTGCGTAGCGACGTAAGGGGTAAACAGCACCCCTATACACATGCACCCGCAGGCATAGTGAATACTCTTCCTCCCTCAAGATGAAGTCACTGCGATCACACACGTGCGCATAGCCCCCCGGCCCCGACCCGCTCTTAATCAATAGAGCATCTGCCAATTTTGTTTGGTGTCTAAGAAGATCAATATTCCAGGCTATGCAGCAGCGTATTTGAATGCTTAGCATTTTAATGACCAAGATAGGGGCGGGGGAGGGAAGTAAGAAAAGAGCTGAGGAGAGTTTTTGTTTTCTTTCTTAGTCTAGGGAGACCATCCTGAACCTGGGTTTCTGGAGATTCTTTGTACAATAAATAAGAACACACACTCGGGCACAAACGCACTCGCATACACCCATGCGCGCGCACCCCCCGAAGTCGCCGAGTGAGGCAGGTCATAGTGAATCAGTTTCTTCCCTGAGCCGCTTCATCAAATCTTCAGCCTTCCGTGGCCCCCTCCAGTTTTCAAGGCCCGGGAAAGGGGGATATATAGCCTTGCACAAGGATAAAGAGAGAAAAAAAAATGGCCCAGAGCCCGGCGTCGTGGGAGTCCTGGGTCAGCTAGGTCTCTGTCCCCTGTCCCTCACCAGGGAACCGTCGACCTTTCCACTTCCCTTCTCTTCCTCAGCCAGTCAGCCAACCCGGGAGAGAATGGCCTCAGGTGTGTCAAAGGTTTTTCTTTTCTTTACTGTGGCCCTAGGCGCTATCCCTGCTTTCCACCTCTCTTCCAACCAGGGAAGCTCGAAGGTTCTGGGGGTAGGGATAGGGCTGAAAGGGTAAAGGGGATGGAGAGCTGTCCTGTACCCAGTTCGGAGTAGTCACTTGGGCCGGAGCTAGGTATTTTTGTCTCTTTGCTCAGCTCTGGACTGAGCTGCACTTGCTCGCCCTTTACTCAGACAGGGAGAGAAAGAACCAAACCTCGGCTAGTTGTGTGTGTGCAGGATGGCAGGATGGGTGTGGGAGTAACTGGGGAACCAGGAAAGTCTGGATCGCTGGGTGTCCAACTGTGGCTCAAGACACTGGAAAGGGACTGGAGTCGGGGTACACACTCAGGGTGGAGCCAGGCTAGTCAGGACTATGCTTCGATAGAGGTACCCAGGAGAGCGAAGTCTGCCCAGCTTTTCTTGGCTACCCGAGAGCTCTCTGACTCGTTACAGGTTTTGTAAAGCATTTATCTCTAAACCTTAGCCACCTTTTGCGACGGGACAGTGATAGCAAAGGTGCCGGATACTCAGCAACAAGGGATCTTGGTTTCCAGCCCTGGGTTCGGCTTCCCTGGTGCGCGGGAGACAAGAGATGTCCCTGTTCTGGAGATGGCTCTCAAACCAGATAGGCGAACGTATGAGAACCGCCCTTATTTAGCGCGGCTAGCCTTCTGCGTCCTGGCCCTGCGCCGCGGGGCCCAGCGGGAGCCGGAGAGAGGAGTGAAAGGGCCAGACTGAAAGAAAGAAGCGAGATTGGGGGGAGACTGATAGAAATGAAAGTGGGGAGGGGAAATTCAGGTCCCAGCGCCTTCCTTTAAAAAGCTTTTCCTGGTTCTCTGCCCTTGTCGGTTTTACTCCCTCAGCCCTGGATTGGCTCCTTGGTCAGTTACCCTGTGGCCCAGAGAGCCTCTCTATTAGATAAGTTGTCCTTAAGGAGAAACAAGGCTGTTTCCCAGGCCCGTAGGGAGAGGGAAGGGTCCACGTTGGTCCTCAGAGTTCTCTTAAAATAATTTTTTGTTTTCGTGGTTGCAAAAGAGGTTTTAAGGCGTTCTAGGTCAAGCTAAACTGCGGTAAAGGCAGGTTGGCAACCTGGCAAAACCTTCTTCTGGCCAAAATGAGGGACGGATGAAGATGAATGTGAATATGAAAAGAGGGAGGTGGGGGGATTATGGCTGTGTGAACAAAGCCAGAGAGTCGGAGGGAGCACTCCAGAGGTCATTCAGGCCTTCCTCCTGCCTCCTTATCTAATCCAGCTCAGTATCTCTATTCTTACTTCTATTCTGTCCTCTCTCTTTCCCGCGTCTTCAGACAGAAAGCCGTTCTTTGCCGCCCCCCACCTCCAATTCTGAGATCATCGAGACTTAAATATGTGTTTGTCAAAGCTGTCGCTTAAATAGCCTGAAGGCTCGGGAAAGGGATTCCTGGGTTCTCTTCTACAGTTCCATTGCTGGCTGGGTTGGGACCTAGAAGGGGCGCCTAGAAAATGCCTGTCTGCCTGCAGAACGAACAAGAGCTATTATTATGCTAATATCCTTCCTTATTATTAAGGC